AGAGAGAGAGAGTGTATGGGAAACAAACTGGGGCCGGCTGGTTGCAGTTAGGATAATGGAAAGCATCTGGATCCCTGGTTGGAAACAGCTGGAACCAGGGTGCCAACATGGAGCAAAGGGAATAGTGTAAAGTGATTTCCCTGGCTCCAGAAAGGCCAAGCTCCATTCAACAACGTGTTAATGAGGCAGTTTCTGAAAAAGGATGGGCCAAGCAACCTAAAACCAGGGGAAGGGAACCCAGCGGCAGCAGCGGGGAAGGGAAGAGAAGGACATGAAATCTAAGGCCAGCACTGGGGTTCAGGTCAGAAGGCAACCGAGTCTGCCTGGAGATCCCCAGGGTCCCCTCGTCAGGGAAGTGAAAAACCTTCCTTTCCTGGCAGGGGCAGGCTGGTGAGTTGGCATGGATGCCACATTTACCACACTATAGGAAAGGGAAGGGAGCTTAGTGAGGCCTGGGAGTCTGCCCTTCAGACCCCATCCATGGCAAGAGGCGCCCTCGGATGAGAGGAGCTGAGGCCCAAGAAGAGTCACTTAATGCCTGGAAATAAAGGTTCTAGGTTGGCGGCAGAAAGGGGGATGAAGTCATCCACCCATATGGAGGACAGTGAGTGGACTTAGCTAGTGATGGCAGGGACCAGGATCCCAGGCAGAGCCCAATAGCTAACATACAGTAACTTTACAAACAGCCTCTGAAAACGCAACTGGGAAACATTTTGTGGTGGTGGTTGTTTGTTTTGTCTTTGCCCAACCTGGCTTGACCCTCACAGAACCACATAGGATGAAAGAGAGCCTCATTCTTTCTGTTCCCTTGGTGCATGTCATAGCCCTGAGCAACTAACTGGCAATTTCTGGACAAGGTCAGGAAGGGAAAGCCAAGTTAGCCCAGCTAGCATATGTCTGGAAGAAAGCCCAAAGGCAAGAAAGCTACAGTGTGATATTATTGTGCTATTTTTACAGATGGGGGAATCAAGGCACAGAAGCATTGCGGACCTTGTCTCAGGTCCTATATAGCAGTAGAGTAAACATCAGTCAAGTCAAGTCAACCGACAACTATAAAGCACCTACTGTGGGCTATGAAGCACCTACTGTGGGCCAGACTCTGCGCTAAGCACTGGAGGGAGGGCTGGCGCTCAGGTTGGCATGATGCCCCTTCCCCTGCCCCACCGTGGGCTCTTTCCAGCAGAGATCTTGCCCTTTCAGCTTCCTAGGTGGGTTTCTCTAACTGTTTCCCATACAAAGAGGAGGGAATATGGTGGTGGCCTTCTAGGCGGACCTGGAGTATTTTCTGAGGTCCTGCTGAGAGTGGGCTGGGAAGCCATGGGAAACCCTGACCTATGAGGGGAAGGGAGGTCAGAAAAAAAGAGAAAGAATAATAAAGATGCAAAAGATTGTTTTCCCTTCCTCTATTCCTCTGATAAACAAGGGCAGCTGAAGCCAGACCCAGAACATCTGCTGTAAATATTTGATCTGACAGAAACGCCAGCGCGTTGTGTGTCCCCAAAGATGGGAAGGAGGCAGACTCAGCATTAAGTTAAAAGAAGAAAAGGGAAGGGCTTTAATGAATTGCAAATGATTACCAGATGGGCCTAAACCCTCACTTTATTGCAAACAGCTCCAGCTTTGCCTTTGGCTTGTGAGTGTGAGCAAGGCAGTGAGTGGGTGTGTGTGCAGGAAGGAGGAAAAAACGAAGGAGGAACCCAGCGCGTGTGCAAAACAGAACCACAGCAAGCAGCGGTGCAGACCAGCCCTTTGAGGGGGAAAAGTGCGGGTGAGGAGCTTCCCTGAAAAAGAAAAAAGGGATGATGGGGTGCCCTGGGATGGAACCCTGGACAGGTTCCACGGTGGAGCGGTGCCGAAGAGCACAGCTTTCCTATATGTCTCAGGCTTACATCAGTGTCTCAAGACCACCTAGAAGGTCCTATTGAACGTGGGTGGGGCCAAAGCAAATTTGGAAGGCCAGATGGAATGTTGTAGTCTTTAGAATTCTGAAAGTTCTTTACATCTTTAGCATAGCCTAATGGGACCCTGACACAAGAGGATTAGGGAGGACCCTTCCTCAGGCTAGACCAAGAGAGGACAGAAGAATGGGAAATGAATGGAGTTAGAAGATCCGGGCTCTCTGCTACCTAATACTGTGTGTCTTCAGGGGAAAGGAATGAGCATTTATTAAGTGCCTACTATATGCCAGGCACTGTGCTAAGTGCTTTACAAATATTCTCTTATTGAGAAGGCGAGCAATTTGGTAAACGTTATACATTGGCAGAACATATATAATCTATATCAAATTGCTTGCCTTCTCAAAGGCGGGGAGGGGAGGGGGGAAAATTTGGAACTCATAATTTTAAAAAATGAATGTTAAAGCTTTTTGTTTGTATGTAATTGAGAAAAACATTTTTTAAAAAGTGGGAAAAGAAAAAATAAAGAAAACCCCCAATATGATCTTATTTGATCCTCACAACAATCCTCAGGAGGTAGGTGCTATTTTTATCCTCATTTTACAGTTGAGGAAACTGAGGCACACAGAGGTTAAGTGACTTGCCCAGCCAGGATTGCAGTGCCTAGGGAAAGATGCTTCTTTCTGGGTCTCAGTTTCTTCATCTGTGAAAGGAGGAGGATGGATCCAGGGGTGGGGAATCTGCGGCCTCAAAGGCACAGGTGGCTCTCTAGGTCCTCAAGTGAACTGAAGTTTGGATTCAGTCAAAGGGCCACACTTGAGGACCTAGAGGGTCACATATGGCCTTGAGGCCGCAGGTTTCTCATCCCTGGATTAGACCATCTCTAAGGTCCCTCCAGATCTACATCCAATGGGTCTATGATTTCTTTTCTTTTTTTTTTTAATCTTTTTTTTTCTTTCTTTCTTTTTGGTCAGGCAATCAGGGTTAAGTGACTGGCCCAGGGTCACACAGCTAGTAAGTGTTAAGTGTCTGAGGCTGGATTTGAACTCAGATCCTCCTGACTCCAAGGCCAGAGCTCTATTCACTGAGCTACCTAGCTGTCCCTGAGTCTATGATTTCTAAAAAGAAAGTCTGGAGTTTACACTTGATAAAGATGCTGAACTTTCTCAGGGCGATGGCAGTGACTGGGTCTGAACTGGGTTGAACCCATTAAAAAAGATTTTCTGTAGCTCCCACTGGTTGGAACTGGTTTGAAGCAACTATGACTTATTAGAATAGACCATGACCTAGAACTGGAGAAGTCTCCTAATTGCTCTTCCTGCTTCAGTCAAGTCTTTCCCCACTCCAATACATCCTCCACTCAACAGCCAAAGAGATGTTCCTAAAGTTCAGCTCTGAACTTTCGGTCAGAGTCCCGTTAGGCTATACTAAAGATGTAGGGAGCTTTCAGAATTCTAAAGGCTACAACATTCCATCTGGCCTTCCAAATTTGCATTGGATGTCACCATGTCATATTCTCTCCCCACCCCCAACAATGAACTGCAGCATTGGGTAATTACTCGGTTACCTTTAGGAGCATGGATAAAGTCACTGGTTTGGCATTTAAAGCTTTTTACAATATTCTCCCCTGAAATCTGACTTTTCCCACATTCCAGTCCTCTGCCATGATCACTATTTTTGAATTGATTAATCTAAAGGCTTTGTGATGTCACTAGCCCTCTCTGAGAATGAAGGAAGGAGAAGAAGGACAAGAAGATGAAGAAGGATAATAACAACAATAACAATGCTTTTCACAACCCGATCCTTTCCTAGCTCTCCCATCTTCCATATCCCTCCCTTCCCCTCACTCTAGCGTCCAACAATCCTGGCCTGTTTGCTGCTCCTCATGTAGAACGATCGATATCTCATGCCCGTGACTTCGCACTGGCTGTCCCCCATGCTAGGAATGCTCTCTTCTCCCACCTCCCATCTTGGCCACGTAGAATCCCTGGCTTCCTTCAAGGTGCAGCCCCAATACCACTTTCTGCAGGAGCTCTCTCTCAGTTCCCCTCCCATTTGCTAGCGCCTTCCTCTCTGTCATCTTCCTTTTGCTTGGTCTAGCCCCATTTATATATATGTTTGACCACATATAAAATGGGGATTGGGGTTTTTTTCTCATCACCATCACTTAGCCCAGTTCCTGGGCTAACATAGTAAGTAAACACTTGAATAATGCTCATGGATTAATTTAATTTTCACAGTGACCTCTACACTGTTAAAAAACATGATACTGAAAGGCGTCAGAACTTTGTGACCAATTGTGACTTTAGGGGAAACCGATAATGAATTCTCTCTCTCCTCTTGGCTGAGAAGCAGTGGACTCTAGATGTGGAATAAGGGATACATAATGTGCGCATGTTGGGTGATGGAATCCCTAGGAAGTGAGAGTGAAGCAAAAAAAAAAAATGGTAGAAGCAATAATAAAACACACATACATACATGTACACACATACAATACTCATATATATATAAAACGCACACACATACACATGTGCATATGTGTATATACTTATGCGCATATATGTATAATATACATATACAACTATATATACATACATACAGAGAGACAGACAGAGAATTGAGGTGGGAGAAGAAATCTCATCCTTCCCAGGACTCTAGCAAACAAGGGTAATTAGAGGAGTCTTTACCTTCAGGAAGGGAATGACAAATGGACGCAGAGGAAAATTGGTGGCTTCTTGGAGTTTGGAATGGAACTCCTCAATTGTCAGGGTAGAATTCTGGAGGAAAGAGGAAGAAAGGGACCAAATCAGTTCCACCAAAGGTAGCCATGTGTGTTGGCATCACATTTGCTCCTCCTGGTAACCCTGGGATGGAAGGTCTCATCCTCTCTCTTGTAAAGGAGATGGGCTGGCTAGTCCACAGGGGCATCACCTTCTGGAGGATGCCTTTCTTGCTACCTTCCATTCCCCATCTGCTAGTACCATCCCCTCTCAGGTTGCCCTCCTTCTACTTTGTAGAAGCACCTTGCCTAAGGTTTTGAAATTAGTTGTTGGGGCTGGAATCCTCCTCCTTCTTTCTTTTTCTTGTACCCTGTTACCTCCTGGGGCCACTTCACTACTTTGGGAATGACTTACAACTCAGCTCCAGGAGCCAGAGATGAGGCTGGCCCCTGGGAGCAATGGCTTAGATTGCTTTCCAGACATGGACAAAGGAAATGGCAGCTTCCTTGCTCCCATGGAGAGCCTCCCTGTGCTGTTTGACCACATGGTCTCATTCCCAGACGGGATCTAATGGGTACCTCCTACAAAGATGTCTCTCCTAAGCTGAGAAGTAGGTGGGAGTGGGGACTCCTATAGTCAAGAGACTGGGACGTGAAACATCCTATTCACTGGTCAGGCTGGTTAATGATGGTCACAATCCCAAAGTGGGATGGGAGAGAAGTTGCTCGTTATCTCATCTCCCTCATTAGGTTGCCCAGAAAACTCAAGTAGGTTTGCATGGCTGTCTTTTCCTTCTCAAATTTCTGCCCAGGCTCTCAGAAACCACAGAGGTGTCTTCTCTGGATGCCAGACCAGTCTCCCTCCTCACTCACATCTTATTCCTTGTTAGAAGGAAATAGATTCATAAACTAAGTGTTTAGGCTGATCTGGGAAACATAATCGGGCAAAGAGGGGAACCACCAAAGGGAAGGATGGGCTAGAAAATCATTCCTGTGGGGATCCCTGAACTTGGAAGTCAGATGACCTGGGTCAAGTCTTGGCCACTCACTAACTGTGTGACCTAGGCTAAGTTACTTCCCCTCATCTGGACCTCAATTTCTCATTGGTAAAGTGAGTGGGGAGGACTAGGCAATTTCTAAGGTCCCTTCCACTCTAACACTTTGGGATTCTGTTTCTACGAAGCATCAAATGGCTGGTATTCTTTATCCCAAAGAGAAGGCAGAGGAGAGACAAAGGAATACAACAATATGAGGGATTCTGATACAGAGCATTGTCTCCATTTTCATCAAAGGCAAAATAAGAGGAATAGTAATAATAATCTCATATTTATGTAGTGTCTCAAAGCAAAGTACTTGACACATACATGATCTCATTTGAGACAACCATGTCAGTAACTGTTATCATCATTCTCATTTTAGAGAGGGCGAAATGGAGGCTCAGAAAAATTCAATATTCACATAGCTAGTGTCTGAGGAGGAATTGGAACCCATGACTCCCTAAGCCCAAATTCCATGCTTGATCTATTAAAGCACTGAGATTTATGTTAGGTGAGAAGTAGGGTGTTTTTTTGAGAAATAGGAAGAGAATTATGGACAGACACTGACATTTCCTTGTAAGACCACTTCAGAAATGGAATATAGTTTCATTTTTCTGGGATGTTTTTGCTGGAAGGTGAGGTCATGGATTAGATGACTTCCTCAGATCCTTCTATAATATTGAAAAAAGAGCCTGAGCTGGGGAAGGAGGGAGGGTCACTCTGGATATAGTTTAAGAGAGAATGGTTGCTCTCGTTTAGCAGGGTCAGAACATACCAGTAGGTGGGTAAGTGGAAGTGACTCCTTGATGGAGTGAAACCAGGACTGAAACTAAGTCCAGGAGGGACCACCAAGCCACCCCATCTTGGGGGGTTGGGCTGGGCTCTCAGAGCTCCTGGAGTTATGGGGCAGGGAGTGTGCTTTGGCTGGTACCCATGCCTCTGATGCCAGTGACCCTTGGCACAGCTCTGAGCATGGGATTAGGTGGATGATCTCCCCCCACCAAAAAAAGCCACCTGTTCCTGAAATGTGAGGCAAAGCTTACCACCAGCCCCAGCACCAAGGTGCGGACCCGCTCCCCAATCTCAGGGGAGATGTCATTCCCAAACTGCTGCAGTGTGGTAAGGAAACGTTTGAGTTTGCTGAGCTGTCGTGCACCACAGGCTGGTGGGAGCTGCTGGTTGGACAGTGAGGCTGTAGAAGAGGTGGCTGGGCCATTGCTGAACCCGTTGGGGGTCGATGGGGCTCCGTTAATCGCCGTTGGGGAATGGCTACTTCCATTCATCACTGCAAGGAGAGAAGAGGCCCGAGAAGTCAGTTGGTGCTGGATTTGGGGGGTTTGGGTGGGGAGGAGTGGAGGTAGGGATGCATGGACATCATGGTAAGTGAGGATGAAAGTCAGTTTTCCTAAATTCAGGTCACTTCAGCACCCATTTATTGAGCATCTATTATGTGCAAGGCAGTGGGTTTCCTACCTTAAATGTTTTATAAAACAGAAATTTTAAGCCCCATCATTTGGGGATTGTTCTGCTCTAAGCATTCAAGGTCCCCACCATATGAGATAACTGAGGGGTCCTTGGGCTATCTCTCTTCCATTCCATACCCATGACAACAGTCACAACCTCCTACTTCTGGAGGCTCTGCCACCAGAAGATCAGGACCTCTAGGTAAATCTTGAGGAATTAAGTGATAAATCTTCCAGCCATTTGCTTCTGTCCCACCCCTCTCTCCACCACACCTTCCTGTAGGTGGTATTCCAGAATTTCCAATGTGGAAGAGGGAACAGCCATTCGGTGAGTCCTCTCCCGACAGCTCTAGGATGTTATGGTCAACACCTTCCCTGCCACCTACAGTGAATGTAACGCTTCAGGGAAAGGAAAGAAGCTTCAACATAAAAAGATGGTGTACCCCTATCCTAAAATAAACACAAGGACATTCCTATTCTATCTTGCACATCTTCCTGGCAATATTGTAACAATTATCAATAATTGTTAACAACGTAATTAATGATAATTAGTAACCAAAACTTCACATTCACTAAGTACTTTAAGATTTACAAAGCAGTTTTATTTTATAGGCAGTAGGATCTTTCCCTGGCACCAGGACATTACCATGTTCCATAACTTTTTCTGAAAGCTGTTGACCACAAGTAGGGAACTTTTAGGGTGTTCATAAGCATCTGAGCCAAGATTATAGGAGTGAGGGCTACTTACTCCCAGACTGCAGAGAAGAAATCTCAAAATCATTGCATTCAAAGTCAGGAGATGTGGGTTTGGATCCCAACTCTGATCCTTACTAGCTGTATGACCCAGGGCAATATGCACCAGAGCCTCAATTTCCTTATCTGCAAAATGGGAGGGTAATAATACCTGCACTTCTGAACTCACAGGGTTGTTGTGAGCATATCTGTAAATCTCCATAGAAGTCTGACATCTCTCCAGAAATGTGTGTAATTATTGAAGGAGAAACTGTAGACAAGAAAGTGCTGGGGGTGAGGGGGGAATCTTTGCTTATGCCGGAAAACTACACTCTAGGTGTGTTTTCATTTTGTTGTGGGTCCTAACCATGTTTACAATTCATCTATTGCTGGGTCATGCACATATTTAGGCACTCAATAAATGTCTGCAATATTGATCAAAGGAGATTGTATATATATTGCACTTTGTTAACTAGCAAAGCATTAGACAAATATATGATGAGATGGATGATGATGGTGATGATGGTGGTGGTAGTGAGGATGATGATGATAAAACATGCAGGAGGGAAAAGAGGGGCTTCTCTAGGTGTGGGGACTATATAATTAGCCAGGGACCAATGAGAGATCTGACTTAAGTTTTTAGCTTATGTTGCTAGCTAACTCCTTCCCCCAACTCTTTGCCAGTAGCTACTTTCTCAGAGGTTCTGGTACCTTGAACTCAGATACTTGGGCTTAATGGGTTAAATTCCAATCCCATGAGTCTTCTATCTACCTCCACTGGCCCCATCACCAGGGGATGGGTTAGGTTGTCGAGGGATCTGGGTTGATCCCAGCAGACCAAAGCCCAGCTCTACTCCATCATAGGAGCTATTCTCTACACTTGTAACATTTTCCCTTCCACTCTCAACTCCAACCCATTGTTCTGGGCCCAATTCAAATGCCACCTCCACAATGAAGCCTTCTGTGGTTCCCTCAGCTGGTAACAAACATCCCCCACCTGGACCTCACACACCACTGTACTTTATAACTCTCTAATGCGCAGATCACACAACGTGTACTAGAGTTATCTGCTCTCCCCTGACAGAATGCAAGCAGCCTAACAGTTCCTGGCCCATAGTAGGTGCTTCATAAATGCTTGTAGGTTGACTGATTGGTTCCCTCAACAAAGAGTAAACTTCATGAGGAATTGACTAGTTTGTTTAAGCTCTGTAACTCCTGAAACACCTAGCAGTGCTATACTGCACACAGTAGGCACTTAATACATGCCTGTGGAATAGAAGATTTTGCGAGGAGTGAGAGGTAGCATCACATAACCTCTTTCAGGTCTTTTGCTCTTTAATGGTCAGTGGTTCCATGTTGCCTACATCTGACTTTCTCACTCCCAACTAGCCTCAGAGTCCCCAGGCTGGCAAAGCACTGGGCCCCAGCAGCCACCAGGTCCACCAGATCAAACCAAGAATCAAAAATGGAAGGAGCACCAATGGAGAGCAAGAGAGAGAACAGAGGAGAGATGGCTGGGACCTTGAAGTCCTAGCCATAGCTGTCTACGGAGACAGAGCTGGGCTCAGCAGGAGCTATAGTTCAATGGACTGTGGCCAGGGACTGGACCATTCCTTGTGGAAGCCCACAGTATCCCAGTGAGGTCTGAAGTGGATACTTCCAGGAGGTACTTCTCTGGAAAGAGAAACGCCTTCAGAGGATAAGCAACTCCTGTCTCAGCACAAAGTGGCGGAAAGCTATTCACATCACCCCCCACTCCTCACCTCAGCCCTAGTCGGCGTGTAGATGATACAGTCTGAAATCACCCGCCTGCTCATTAGCAGTCACATTCCTTCCAATCTCAAGGACACAAGGATATCAGAACACATTCTGATGTTTTCTTACTGACTGAGAGGCTGTGTGATGTAGCAGGCAGAGTGGGTGGCCTTGGAATCAGGAAGATGTGAGTTCAAATCTGACCTATGACACACACTAGTTATGTGACATATCACTTCATGTGTCTGAGCCTCAAGGACCTCTTGAAAGTTTAGCTGCTAAACTTTAAACAATGGTGAAATCACAGATTTTTGACATTGTGTTAATGTGTGCTCACAATGCTGTCTTCAGTATGTTTGCTGGGGTTACTTCTTCCCCTTAGAAGTCAACGTTGAGAGAATTTAGTCTTGGGCCCTCAAAGAAAGCCCTGTATCATTCTGGTTTAACCGTAGAGCTATGCTCACCCAGGGAGCTAATAAGTAAGTGTTCTTTCAATGATGATGTTGACTGATGGGCAGCAAGATCTGCTTCATCTTCCTCCTCTGGGCGTTTGATGAATCCATGACCTAGTTGGCCTCCAAAGAGTTATGTTTTCCCCACATCTGCCAAGGGTAGGCAGTGGACAGACAGGTCCATAGTGGGTCAATGCACTGAAGTCACGTAATTCCTGGGCACCTCCTCTCCTCCTTAAAATACTTTTGGTTTATTTACCACCTTACCATCTCAGGTAAGACAACTAACTTTCTTCTTTTGCCCCATGAAAACTGCATCATTCATTTGGCCCAGGGATCCTGGCTTTTTGGGGCTGTGTTCTTGCACTTTCTGCTCTGGGCTCAACTGTCCCTTGACACATATGGAAGCTATTTCTGTAGGAATAAACCCATTAGGAGAGGAAGGCCCCTGAACCCACACAACCTGGCCATTCAGATCATACAACAAATCCTTGAGGCACCTACATGGTGTAGTGGATAGAGAGGTGGACTTGGGGTCAGGAAGATCTGAGTTCAAATCCTGAGTAAATCACTGTGTGAGGTTGGGTTTCTGGAATCAGGGTGTATATGCATGGATGTGCCTGTGTGTTCATGAACTCCTGGGCACGTGATATGAACAGAATCTAACCTGAGATCACAGGACCCTAGAGTCATCAAATCCAACACTTTCATTTTACAGATGAGGAAACTGAGATTCAGAGACGTTAAGTGATTTGCTCGGTAATGGCTATTAAGTATCTTTGGTGGGGCGGGGGGGAGGGGGGGATTTGAACATGGTGGAAGGGCAGCTGCCTTTCTACCCTACATTAATCCTCAAATGATATTTCCCAGTGGGTCAGGGAGTACCTATTTTTGACACTCTGATGCTGATACAATGCCAAGCCCACTTCTAGAGGTGCTGGTGAGCCTATCAGAATCCCTCCAGCCCCAACCAACCTTTTGGTCTGATCACTTCTCTGAGTGGGGCTAATTACAAAGGTCACCTATCCACTGTCAAAAGGCTCAGATTCTGTTCCCCAACTTGCTTGCTGTGTGACATTGGGCAAATCATTTCCCTATTTCTGGGCCTGTTTCCTCGATTTCAGAATGTGGGTGTTGGAGGAGGTGGTCTCAAAGGTTCTTGCCAATTTCCAAGTTCTATGATTTCATGTTCAAGGCAGGGAAGAGCTGGGGACTCTTGCGATACTGCCAAGTGGTGTCGGGGTAGGTGGAAGACCCCAGCTTATACCCTGTTCAGAACTTCAGGACTGACATGGGTCAGCATCATCCTGTGATTTGATTTGAGTTGTTGACTGTCCAGCCAGTCAGCTGCAACCTCAGGCTAGGGCCAATTGACCATCAGCCAGGACTGCCCATGCCTCTGGGCAGGAGGGGGAGGGGTGGGACTGATTGTCAGGGTTATTCTAGAACAGGGGTTCTTAACCCTTTCTTGTGTCATGGCCTCCTCAGAATAATGTTTTTAAGTAATTGAAAGAAATGTTAAATTCCAGTTGAGGGTTATTGAAAACAAAAGTGTAATTTTTCCCCCTTCCAAATTCATGAACTCTGGAAATCTATCCATACACCTTTTGGGAATCTGTGAACCCTAGATTAAGAACCTTCATTTCAGAATCCTGTAGGGTGTGGGCCCATTAATGATTTTAATTAACTTCACCCTATTACCACTCCCCCCTTTTGTGGACGTGGCCTGTGATTTCATTAATGTGTTAGAAACTTTCCCTATCAATGAAGACTGGTTCCTGCTCAGTTAGAAAGTTGTCTAGGGGCACTTATTGATTGAAAATGTCTAATTGAGAATCAGTCAATAAACATTTATTAAGAGCCTACTATATGCCAGGCACTGTGCTAAGCACAGGGGATACAAAAAGAGGGAAAAGACAGTCCCTACCTTCAAAGTGCCCACAATCTAATGGGGGAGACCAGGAGCAAGTACATACAAATAAGCTATATATAGGAAAAAACCGGAAACAGAAGGGAAGGCACTGGACAGATTGAGTGACTTGCTTATGGTGACGTAGCCAGGAAGTGTCAGATGTGGAATTCGAACTCAGGTCTTCCTGATTTTAAGACAGACTCTTCATTCACTTCCTTATTGCTTACTTTCCAGGGATTTTCTGTCCCAAAGACAGGTGTGCATAGCTTGAATGATACCTGAATAGTTTAATATGTATTGTCTCTATGGCATTGGTGTGATGTGTTTATATGTTCAAAGCAATTAGGTCTTAACATGGCTTGGTAGAAACAGAGGGGTTACACTAGATGACATCTACTTGGACCTTAATTTCATGTTAGGATGATTTTAAGACATAGGAATTAGTCAGGTGAAATAGAAAGAACTTGGGACCAAGAGGCCTAGGTTCTAATCTCCACTCTTCCATGAATCTTGGACAAGTCTTTCCCCCCTTTCTGGTCCTTGGTCCCCTTCTCTGTAAAAGGAAGGGGGCTCAATTAAATGATCTTCGACTGTGGAAGACCCCTTCTGGCTCTGACATTCTACCCAGCTGTGGATCAGTTCTCCCAGGGAATATGGCGGCTCTCTAGAATACTTAACTCATATACAGGGACTGGTTAAGGAGGGATTAACTCTCACCAAGGGTTTCATTCCAGTTTTAGGGTCACTAGAGTATGCCCAGAGCCACAGCAAATGAAGGGAAGAAAAAAAAAGCCCGTGAGACCAGCTCTGCTTCTTCACTTCCCTCTCTAAGGTTTTGTCCAGAGTAGTTTTTAAATAGACTTGGAAGATCCTTTACTGATAAACTAATTATCTATCCCTGTATCTCTCCCCAATCTATAACCTGCTAAAAATACAGACATACATACATACAAGTGTGTGCACGTGCACACACACACACACACACACACACACACACACACACACACACACATCCAGAGGCAAGGCCAGCAACTGTGAAGACTCAGCTAAGATATACTTATCCATCGCCAAGGGAGACATCACCAGAGAGGAACGGAGTTCCCACTGCTTTGCTCAGATGCTAATTCTGAGAAGGGTGGCTGCCGCCGTGTCCAGACTGGTCTGTCCCCTCCCGGAAGGCTCCCTCCCGTCCCTTGGCTCCTCGGGAGCTGTCCTCTGGATGGCCCAAGGACAGGACACGTCTGCTGGGGATGGTGCTACCTTGGGGCTCTTTCCCTCCCTTCTGCTCGCTTACTAACCTTGCCCGCCGTGTTTGGGTCGTCCTGGAAGCCAGCAGCCCTGCCTCTCCCGTGCCTGCTCAGGTTCGCTCCCGCTCGCACTCGCTTTCTCGCTCGCTCTAGCTGCGGGGTAATATCAGCAACTTGCTAAAGAGACGCCGAAAATAACCACATGGCCACAACTGCTTTCATTCCAGTGACAGGTGTGTTACTAAGTTAAACTGCACACATGTCCCCTGGCTGAAAGTCGGTGAGCACAAGCTTGCATCCTGGTGACTCTCCCAATACCACCCGGGCCCGGAGTCCAATCTAAGGGGGGCAGATTGGAAACGGGGAAACCCTACAAGGTGCCTAATGAGTTAGCTCTGCTAAGCTGAAGGTTTCTATCGACCCTTGCCATCTACCCTGTCGCCTCCTAATGTGTCAGCCGAATGCTCCTCCCTGGAGAGGGTCATAAGAGCATTTTCAAGGAGTTCTGAGGGAGGAGAGCCTGGCCCCACTCACTCACAAACATCCCTTCCCTCTCTGCCACAGATACCAAAGAGAAGAGCATACACAACCAGAAAGCCAAAGGGGACTGAGAGATGACTACCCTTCCCCCTCACCCCCAATGCCAATGACCTTGCCGCGTCCTACTGTTCTCTCCCCTGCTAATTCCTGAAGGGCCGAGGATCAGAATTCAGCCTCTGTAGGCCTTTGCCCAAATGGATGGCCAGTTAAGGCCACTCCCTAGAGCTCTTGGGAGGGTGCTTTGGGATGGGGATGAAGGAGGGGGACGGTAGGTCAGAGGGATTCTTCCTCTTGATCTTGTTTGGTGGGGATGTTGCAGAGGTATGTCCCACTGGGTCTCCCTCAGCCCCTTCTCCGTGGGATTAGTTTTTATCATTTTACTTACAAAGACAGACCATAGACCACTTCAAGCAGCCATGGAAGCGGCCAGGGGGCAGAAACGTAGGAGGCCCATCTTCTCGATCTGTAAGCAAAAGAAAAAAAAGAAAAAGAAAAAAAAAAACATGCTGTCAGGAAAGGCAGGTCCGGGGTGGGGGCTTACTGCGCCTGATGGGGACAGAGCCAACACTTCCCTCCCCTCCCCTCCCCCGCCCCTTGCCTAGACAGCATTTTGAGAATTTGGAGGAGAATCACAGGTGTCTTTGTCAGTGAGGATGGGGGTTGTGCCTGGCTGCTGGTGTCTCGTGGGTCTGGGCCTTTATAGGAGGTACAAGGCCCTGGGTGGAATGGGGGAAGAGGAAGGTGGGTCTCTGAAATGCTCTGCAAAAGTTAAAAAAATGAATTTTCCCCTCTAGTGAGACACCTAGTGATAGGCACCCCTATATTACCTGCTCCACAGGCATTTCTCTTAAAACTAGATTAATTTTTTACAAACTGTGCCTGAGGACCTGGGATTTGTGAGTCCCATTCAGGGCCAGGAAAGTAGAGGTTGCAAACTACCAAAAGCATGGGAGGAAGGTTATGCTGAAGTGTGGATGGATTCTGGAGAGAGAACTTTAGAAAACATTTATTATGAGCAGAAGAGGGACAAAAGAAAGCAACTTCTGTGTATAATGCCCAGCACAGTGCCTGGCATGTAGGTGCTGTGATTTCATTGGCACAGGGGACTGTCGGTAGGGAAATTCTCTCTACCAATGCAGCGTGAGGTGGGGCACCTTCTCTGCAACTCATTGTCTTGGAAACATATTTTGGGACTTGGGAATTTGTTTTGTTTGACTATATGTGTTTGTCACAAGAGTTTCTTTTTTCTTTTCAATTGGAGGGGAGGGAGAGAGGATAAGTGTTTGTCACTAAACAATAAATTTAAAGTAAAATGATCATTAAAAAACCCCAAACTATAGTATTAGAGAGTTACCTAGAGGCTAAATGACTTTTCTGAGGCCACATCACTAGTATTTGCTAAAGCTCTGAACCTTGGTTTTCCTGATTCCCAGGTTAGGTCACAATCAACTACACTGGCTCTTGCTTGGTACACAGTAGACACTTAATGAATGCTTGAGTGACTGATCAGAAGACTGAGAGATGACAAGAAGAGAAGTCCTATGGTAGGTCACCTTTCCTTGCTTCTGGGCCATCCTTCGTTCTCCTAGGTCCAGCCCTCTTGACTCAGAACCCCAGTTCCTCTTGACCCTGTCTTTCCCCCTTTCCCCCTCTCCTCCGTCACCCCCACCCCAAAGCTACCCGCCACACTGTAACTCAAAGGGAGAGGCAGTGTGGACCATGCTGCCTTCACGACTTCACCACATTCCTTCCTCTACCCCTCTTGTAGTCTGGCTTCACGATCCTCGACTCCAAGACTGCTCTCTCCAAGGTCACCAATGACTTTCTGTTTGCTAAATCTGACAATCCTCAGCCTTGACCTTTTCATTGACCACCCCCTCCTCCTGGATACTCTTTCAGCCCTGGGCTGTCATGACTTCTTTCTGCCCTGGGTTCTTTCCCTTTATTTCTGACTGCTCTTTCTCAGTTCCCTTTCTTTGTTCCAGTCCCGTCTTGGAAATATGGGCATCCCCCAATGCTCTGTCTCCCACTCTTCTCTTTTCTCCCCTGATACTTTCTCACTTAGAGATCTGATCTATTTCCATGGAACTAATCATCATTGGCACAATAATTCATTCAGCCTCCACTTAGAACTTGAAAGAACTTGGATAACTGTACCCAGTAGGCACTCAACTAATACAGAGGCACTTAGGCAGTGCTCTAAGACTAAAATCAGGAAGACCTGAATTCAAATCTTGCCTCAGACATTTACAAGTTGTGTGACCCTGGGCAAGTCACTTAACCTCTGTTTGCCTCAGTTTTCTTATCTGTAAAATGGGGCTAATAACAGCACCTGCCTATAGATTCAGCCCAAGTCTTGCCTTTGAACTTCATTTGAGCATTTTCAACCTCTTGCTGGACATCTTCACCTGAGTGTTTCACTCCTACTTCAAACTCAACATTGCCCAAACGAAACCCTTCTTCATTCCCCCAACCTTCCTTTTTTCCGACTTCCTTCTATCATCTTCTATAGCTGATGGGTTGCCAAGACCTGTCAATTCTGCTTCCACCATACTTCTTACATTTGTCCCCTTTTGTCTACTCACACAGCTACTACACCTGCACTATAGTAACAGCCCCCTAAGGCACTGGATCATTGTTATTGTTGTTCAGTCATTTTAGTTGTGTCTGACTCTTCATGACTCCATTTGGCGTTTTCTTGGCAAAGATACTGGAGTGCTTTCCTATTTCCTTTTCCAGCATGTCCTCATTTTGTAGATGAAGAACTGAGGCAAATAGAAGTGAAGTGACTGGCCAAGGGTCACATAGCTAGTAAGTGTCTGAGGTCGGATTTAAACTCAGACCCTCCTGGCTCCAAGTCTAGTGCTCTGTCCACTGAACCACATAGCTGCCCCTCCCTGGACTATGCTCCTGCTCAGAAATCTTCAGAGGTTTCCTACTGCCTCCAGCATTATCTGGTTCAGCATTGAAAATTCTCCCACCTACCTTTCTAGTGTTCTTTCATGTCACTACCATTCACATATTATATAGTCCAGTACAACTAGCCTAATAGCTATTCTCCAAACCCAACTCTGTCCCCAGTCCCTGGGATACACTCCCTCCTCAACCCTGACCTTCAGAATTCTTCCCCTCCTTTGAGGCTTGCCTTATGTGCACCCTCTTGGTGAAGCCTTCTCTAGACCCTTCAGTTCAAAGTATTGCCTCCTGCTTCAAATTTTCCTAGAGCACTTTGGATTTCTCCCTTGATGCCATCACTCCGTACCATGTATCATATTTAACTGTGTACGCTGGGCATCCTCTCTCTCTCTCTTCTCTCTCTCTCTCTTTTTGTTTCTCTCTGTTTTTCTGTCTCTGTCTCTCTCTTTCTTTTAGAATGTAAGCTCTTTGAGGGTAGGGTCACACAATTTAAAAATCTCTGCATCAGCACTGCCTTGAGCACACTACAAGCTTAATCCAAGTTTACTGAATGAAATCGTTGAATTCTAGTCTTGGGGTGGGGGAATAACTTGGGGAACACCTGCCATTCTCTGAAACTGCTCCCCCCAATAATCCATCCCTGAGCTGTTTTCAGCCTTCTGGGCACCCAGGCGCCTGAAGTGGTTAACCACTAGGCTTTTAGGGTATTAAATGATTTAGAGAACAAATCTCTGGCCAGCTCTGAGGCAGTCTGTGGCTGGAGTAGAGGTAGCAGATTTTCAATGTTCACCAGAAAAGAGAGAAAAATAACCATTTACGAAAGAACCACCTGTCTCTCTTGCCTTACTCCTGTGTACTTTAAACACAGTGGCCCTGGTTCCAGCAAATTGGCTGCAGAGAAAACACGGGGCTGAGTGTGTGAAATTCAGGATAGGAAATGTTCAGGGAGGAAGTAATGGGGGGAGGGAGAGAGGGGCATGGACCCAGGGACATATACACACACACAGAGCCATCACATCTGTTCCAAAGCTTGGATTAAATGTAAAACCCATCAGATCACAGCTTATCAGAACTCAATTCCTAATTAGGGAACATCTGGCGTCCAAACTAACATTTGCACTGCCTTAGACCAGTGGCCAGGGAGGGGGAGGAGAGAAGAGAAGAGAAAGAAAAAGAAAAAGACCCCCCTCCCCAATACTTCTTAGAATCAGAGACTCACAGTCTGATGGAGGAAAGAATCACAACTAGCTTTGGAGGCAGAACACCTGGGTTCTGACATTCACTCACTGGGACAATTTTTTTCAGCTCTCTGGGCCTCAGTTTCTTCATGTGTGAAATGAGGGGTTGGACTATGTTGGGAGAAGAGGCCTCCTCAGAATCACGGTTTTAAATGCATAAAATGAAACACATAGGGTTACAAAGGAAACCGATTAAATTGAAATAAAGCTATCAAATTAAAGCAAAAAGTTCACAGACCCCCCTCAGGATAGGTACCCTCGGCCTCAATGATCTCTAAGGCTCCTCCTACTCTAATCATCCAATCCTATGATTGATGCTCAGAGGAGGAAGGGTCCAAGAACAGTCACCCCAAACCCTGCTCAAAGCATGCTTTTCAAGCGTTCATTCAGTCTCTATTTAAAGACCTTAAAAGAACTTGGATAACTGCACTCAGTAGGCCCTCAACTAATACAGAGACACCTAGGTGGTACTATGGATAAAGCTCAGGAAGACCTGAGTTCAAATCTGGCCTCAGATGTTTACTAGGTGTGTGACCCTGGGCAAGTCACTTAAGCTCTGTTTGCCTCAGTCTCCTTATCTGTAAAATGCTAATAATAGCACCTACTTCCCAGGGTTGTTGTGAGGATCAAATGAGATAATGTTTGTAAAGTGCTTAGCACAGTGCCTGGCATTTAGTAGGTGCTAAATAAATGTTTATTCCTCTTTCTTTCCCATTCTAAAGGATTCTCAAAGAATAAATGTATGTATGGCATAGGCTTAGTTAACTGTCAAACTGTTATTCCACACACAATCCGCCTCCCTGCCCCATGCCCTGATACTTCTCCTTGGAATATAATAAGCAAAGAGAAGTTATGTTTGATCTTGAACTGTGAGGATCTTAATTTTGGATGCTTTTTCCACTGCTACCAAAAGGTTACTGCTGTATTGCAGAAGAAATTGGGCCAGCTTTCAAGAGTGCCCAGGGGCCAGAGCTGGACTCCTAGGCTATGTCTAAGGCAGCGTGGTGAGGGCTGCCTTGTGCCTTCATCTTCCTAAGCATCCAATGCAATTGTAGGAGCAAGGACTGTTGGACCCAGACTCAGGAAATGTGGTTTCTAGTCTATGAAATAGTCATTAGTGTTCATCTTGATCTGCCTTAACAGACTGGAGGCTCCCTGAGAAAGTGTGTCTCTTATTAGAACATTGCATCACACACAGTAGAAGCTGAATAAATGAACTGATTCTGCCATTCTGGCTCTGCCACTTAGTTGCTGTGTGGCCTCGGGCAAACTTGCTTTCCCTCTCTGGGTCTCAGTTTCCCCATCTTTAAAAAGAAAGGGTAAGACTGGGTAAGGACGATTCTTTTAACTGTGGCACTCTGAGAGCCTTCCTTGCAACAGCCTTGTAGGAGATTACAAGTTGGACTGATTAGCCTCCTTTTACAGAAGACAAGAGACTAAGGCTCAGAAGGTGGCTCTCCCATGGTCACATAGGGAATGAGCAGTAGGGCCCAGGTTTAGTTTCCTGACTCTAGGCCTCATGCCCTCCCACTTCTACCAGCCTCCTGAAGGCTGCTTCCAGATTGAATAGTCTATAGCCCAAGCTTCCTCCTAGCCCTGACACTCTGTATTCCAAGTCCTTTTCTAGCTCTGACATCCTATGTTCTAAGGCCCCTTCCAGCTCTTAACCTTCTAGCAGACTTTGGAAATTCCTCAGGGACATTTAAAAATCTAAGCAATTTTGCAGAAACTCCCTTTCCTGGCCAACAGAGGAGAGAAGGGAGGATCAGGCAGATCGCTTAGCAATTTGGGGGCACACGACTCTCAAAGGGACCTCAGATCTATAAAAGGAGTCTGAAAAGTGGGAGTAGGCTCAGCTCATCCCAGAGTACCTTGGGCCCATGATCTCCTGCCAAGCTGCCTCCTCTACCAGCTGGGCTGGCTCATCCAGAGCTACCCGAAGCGGTCTAATTGCTTACTCGGGCTGCCTTCCTGTATCGATTAAAATGTTTGTTGGTGAAGCCTATTCAATAAAGCTCTTCTTCAATTATCTCTCTAAATCTTGATGCCTCTAACCCAACGGCCAGGAGCCTGGGGGGATGGGCTGCAGGAGTCGGGGGAAGGGGATGCTAAAGTCTACAGCCCTTCTGGAGCGTGAGACCTGGACACCTGCCAATGCACAGGCTCACAGAAGGACCTCAGGACTCTACTGTTTTCAGAGGACACACAACTGTGTGTAACTTTAACAAGTCACTGATCTACTCTGGGCCTCAGTTTCCCCATCTGTAAAATGAGGGAGATGGACCACAGATGATCCCCCAAGACCCTTCCTAGAGAGTTTAGCATCCTATTCTTTCAGGGCCAGCTTCCTGCTCCTCCTAAGCCCCAGGAGAGCAGAAGAGGCTCCAAAATCTGGTGAGATCATAGTTAACCAGCAATCCAAAGACTTAGAGATGGAAGGGCTTCATAAGCAGGCGATGGAGGGAGATTCATGGACCAGAGATAAGGGTGTGAATGTTGATTCCCATCTTTGCTGTGGGGATCAATGGGACGATATGGGCTCATTGCTAAGGTCTCTCGTCCTATTTCTTTCTAAAACAGATGCAACGGCGTCAGGCAAGGTGTTTCTGAGGAACGACGGACCCAGATGATGTTAATAACGACAGCGATCATTAGTTTTGTGCTTTAAGGCTTGCAAAGCACTTGACATCCGTCTAGTACCTTGTTTGATCTTCCCAGCAACTCTGGGAGGTAGATGCTATTATTGTCCCCATTTTACAGATGAGGAAACTGAGGCTGCAGGAAGGATGAGAACTCAAGTCTTCCTGACTTCCAATTCAGCACTCTATCTCCTATACCACCTAGCAAGGTGGGGATTCCAATCTCCAACTCCAGGTCACTTTGCTAATCCACAAAGCAGTTGCTGTTCTCTGCTGAAGAGGGTGGAGAAGCCTTTCTCTGCAGAAAGATCTTCCATAGCTATCATCATTTCCACAAAGATGGCAGGAGGGTCATCCTCCCCATAACAGCACCATCAACTGCTTTGTTCCACCCCATTCTCCACGGTAAAAAGGTCAATTTTGATACAAAGATAAAATATAGTCCTATTTTTTATTCCCCTGGAAATCCCCAAAGAATGATTTTGACACCTAGAACCTAGGTAGGGATATGGAAGATGGAGACGCTTCTGGGAGATCCACTCACTTATTTGGAATGGGAATAGGACTCCAGGGTATGTGTCCCAAGGAAGTCAAAGACAGAAAGGAATTTTCCCTGTGTACCCCAATATCAATAGCAGCGCTTTGTGGGGTAGCAAAAAAATCCAAACAAACAGGAAACGACAAGGTAGATGCTCAGCGATACGGGAAGGGCTGACAAACTGGCCGATGAATGTGATAGAATGGTATCGTTACAAGAAATGACAAACAGGAAGAATTCAGAGAAGTCTGGGAAAAGCTGTCACAGAGTGAAACAAAGAACCATTAGCAACATGATCAATGACATAAAGAGAAAGAACACTGAATTTGGGTCCACTGCAATGACCCTTCTTAAAGGAGGAGAACAGATGAAGAAACACCTTTCCCTCCTTTCTGCTGAGGTGGGCGACCAAGGGTCTGGAAAGCCACATACCCTGGCAGATACAGGTGTTGTGTTGACTGATTTTGTTTCATTGTTTTCCTTCATCATAAGGCAGTTCTCAGTGATGGGGAGGGATATATCAGGAAATGGTTGGGGTATATAAAGAAGTGAAACCTTTTTTAAAAAAATGAACACGAAGACAGATCTCCTTCTGAGCACAGTGCTCTGACGTACCCGAGGTCCAGCCTGAGGCACTAGGTCACTTGGTGTCAACATCCAAGAGGACTGACCAACCAGTAGGGCCTGATTTGGGCAGCCCTGTTGAGGCTCCTAGGCTGAAGACCGGATATGGGTGCAGACTGACCTGCCACCCAGTAGGGTGTAATTTTTGGCAGCCCCTTTGGGGATCCTAGGCTGAAGGCTGCATATAGATGGGTCCAATGCTTTTCTATAGCCTTGAGGGGCCAGGGTTAATATCCTCTAAGATCCTTCCCCTTGAAATTACCCTTTTTTCTATTCTAGATTGATGGAACATTGAGTAAGTGCATCCTCTGTGCCAGGCACTCCGCTAAGCACTGGGGATGCAAATATAAGCCATTTGGCTGGTCTTAGCTCTTAAGGAACCTCTATTTCTAATTTCTAATAGGGGGAATATAGTACATAACAGAGAGCTGGAAGAGGGGAGAGGACACATGGTCACATGGGATGGAGATGGCTGGAGTCCTGGTTCAGAACAAGATGAGATTAAAAACAACACATCCTTAGCACATTCAGCTGTCTAACACAACTGAAGGCCTTCACTCATAGGACCTTAGACATTCTGCAGTTCTAATAGGCTCATTTTATAGATGCAGAAACCGAGTTCCCACAGGTTGGCACTTCTTATCAGGAAGAATGACTTAACCCAGTGATACAACGGAGATAGTATCAGATGGAGAACCAGGAGAACTCCGTCTTGGGCTAGCTCTACGCCTTTTAGCAAATTACTTCCTCTTTCTAGTCCTTAGTTTCCTCATTTGTAAAATAAGAAAGTCAGATTCTGTCTGATGACTCTGGCCATCTCTAACTCCCTGCCATGTTATAAATGTCTCCCCATCATGGTGGTTCCCATCTTGGCCTCCCGGGTGACGGTGAATGCAGCGTGACTACTTACTTGTGTTTGGTGTGAAGGAAGGGTGGCGTGTGGCTCCCTGGGTGACGGCTGGAGGTGGGGGTGGCATGCTGGGTGGGGTCGATCTGGACTGCGTCTTCACCTCAGCCGGTGAGTCTGGCATCGTCGCTGCCTTCTTCTCTGTACTATCTGCTAGAAGTGTTGCAAGAGGGTGGGGAAGAACCAGAGGGAGCAGAGGGGAAGGATGGAGGAAGAGAGAGAGGGAGAGCAAGTCAATGAGAGCTGGAGAGAAGGCCTGAATCCCCCTCCTGTCTCCACCCTCACCCCAGGTGTCATCCAGGGCTGTCCACAGTGTTAGCTTTCAGGTGGCTACATCCTGGAGCAACATCTACACTGTATACACCTGGGCAAGGCTGCTTCCAGCAAACACACCAGGCTGCCCCCAGCTCTTAATAAAGGAACTCTTCCCGCCCATCATCTTAATTAAGCATGCTCATGCTACGCCCAAGATAAGCACCAGGTGTTCTCTCACAGGCCTCTGTGGATGCCCAGGCTGCTGCTGGGCCTGGGCTCCAGGTGACAGCTTGGGGATTAGAGACTCAGATTTTTCTTAATGACTGGGGAGGCAGCAGCCACTGGGATGGAGGGTGGGGGGTGTGGTTCTAGTGTTAACTCCTTCCCTGCCGTGGGCACATGCTTCTCCTTTCTAGAGCCTAACTCTCTGGACAGCCAAGCAAACGGGGGGGGGGGGGGGGGGGGGGGGGGGGGGGGGTGCTGAGGTGACTTGGGTGGTCGGGGACCACGGGAGCTGAGGAGGCAACAGAGCTAAAGCAGGATCAGTGTTATTCCTTGGTGGTGGGGCACAGTGGAGAGAACCCTGGCCCAGGAGCTAGGAGGCTTGGGTTTGATCTTGGCTTAATGTTTGTTCTATCCATCTGTAAAATGGAGGGCAGCTGGATCGGATGACATCTTCGGTCCCTTCCAGCTCTGAGGGCTGGTGGGACACAGATAATTCCTTAAACTCTTAGAAATAAAAAGTAATGACTCACCCTCTTGTCATACTGTAAACTTATTTTCCTCACTACTATATGAGGTCGTCAAGAATAACTCACATCTTATCTGAGGGGGAGCTGAGATAGTGGATGGAGACTGGCTTCAGAGGCCAGAAGACCTGGGTTGGAGCCCTGCCTTTGAGGCCTGGGTAACCTTGGGAAAATCACTGAACCTTTCAGTGCCCTGGGCCAGTGGAGACAAATTCAAGAGGAAACAGGCGCCACTAAATGAAACATCTCCGTGGGCCGCATGTGGACTTAGAAAACCACATATTAATATTATCTTTGTTTTATTGAATTTTGCATTTATTTTGTTAAATATTTCCCAATTACATCAAGCTGCAGTTCAGAGCATTGCAGGCCTCATGTGGGCCAAGAGCTCACATCTCTGCCGTTGGCAACTCTTTAACACCATAGGTCGCAGTTGTTGTTCAGTTGTGTCCAACTCTTTGTGACCCCGTTGGGGGTTTTCTTGGCAGAGATACTGGACTGGTTTGCCATTTCCTTCTCAGATGAGGAGACTGAGGCAAACAGAGTGAAGTGACTTACTCAGGGTCACACAGCTAGGAAGTGTCTGAGGCTGGATTTGAACTCAGGTCTTCCTGACTCCAGGCTTGGAGCTCTATGCACTGTGCCACCTCGCTGCCGAATAAGTTTCAGAGAAGGCCTCAACCTGCATCGTTAGAGTGTAGAAGGTGGGATAGGGAAGTGATCTGTGAGTTCCTTAACATAAGGACCCCCCAGATGAGTCTAACCCCAATCTAGCATAAATCCCGACAAAAGACCATCTAGCTCCTGCTGTTAAAACCTCCAGGGATGGGGAGCCAACTCTCTTTTCAGACAACCACTTCCACTTTTTGGAAACCTTTTGCTGTTGGAGTTTTCCTCAGGTGGAATCTGCTAAATTTGTCTCCACTGTTCCTAATTCTGCCCTCGGAGGCCAAAGAGAAAAAGTCCAAGTCCTTTTCTTCTCCAATCTAAACGGCTCCAGTTCCTTCAACTCTTCCTTGTACAGTGAAGTCTTCAGGCCCACCGTCATCTTGTTTGTCCTCTGGATACACTCCAAATTGTTAAGAGGTTGCTTAATGAGCAATCAACACTTGGCGTACTCTTCCTTGAGGAAGGGAAAAGCAGGGCCAGCTCTTCTGGTGTGACATTCTCATTCTCTCTCTCTCTCTCTCTTTCTCTCTCTCTCTCTCTCTCTCTCTCTCTCTCTCTCTCTCTCTCTCT